GTTTTGAATGTATGGCTGTTGCGATAAGGTACCGTATATTATCATAATTATCATCATTATTACAATTGTTATAACAATTATAGGGTATTAATTTAGTTTTGAATTTAAGGTTTACTGTTGAGCCAAAATAATTTTTTGATCGCACATTACTAAACTATAATATATCCTAATAATAATAGTACAAACGTAACTATGTTTATTAAGAAAATCTATATACAGACCACAGGTGTAAGTACGACTGGTCTCTTTTCTTGGGGCCTAATACCGTACCCAATATTTAATTCTGCCGTAGAAGTAACACCAAATTTGGTTTCCAACGAAGCCTGTATATGGTAGAGAAAGAGTGTGACATGTTTGTTATTCAGCTTATTTCTAAAATCATAAGTAATAATAAATGGGAACCCACTTTAATTTAACTTCAGAATGTTGGTACTAAACCTTCTCCTTTCGATTTCAAGGGTGTGTTATATTTATAGTATTGCAGAACGATATGGAATATCAGATACAAACAACCTAATTTCCGATAACGAAAAAGAGGTGTGCAGTACGGCTGAGTACTAAGTGACTAAATCCTTTGAACCTGGGACCTGATAGTGTGGTCCTGGTGACCACAGAAGGATAGGTATGCGCCACAAAGGACATACATTAAGGATATAACATAATGGATAACATCCGAATAAAGAGAGATGAGACTGTAGGCGAGGATGGCTTGACAAGAGCTAAGGCAAACAGAACTGAACTGACTTCAGATTTTATTAAAAGGAAAAATACAGTAAAACAACAATACTGTGGGAATTTACGTATGTCTCTATATTGGTTGAGATATACAATTTATAAGCAATGGCTAAAATATAATACAACATACAACCAGAAATATACATATACTTTGTATTATTGATTCAAATTTATTACATAAATTAATGTACACTCACCGGTAGACCAGCTATAATGGAATATTTTGACGTTAAACCGACAGATAAAGGAATTTTCAAGCCTCCCAGTGAAATGTAGAAATTACCATTTCTTCTGTTTACAGCAAACCGCCTTGCAATATCAGTATCAAATCTATTTAATATAAATGGTAACATGCAATTCCCTTTATAATTCTATTTAAATATTTCAAAACTTGTTTGTGTATGTGGTGTGTAATAATACGTTTGTTTATGCTATTGCTACTTACGGAACTCCAGCACTGCAATTTATATGTAGACCAGTCTCTATCGGGCCTTCGTAGATTACATCCAATTGCTTGTATTTTATACGGTCAGTTGAGAAAATTAGCCTCAAAGACGGGTTAAACTGAAACTGTGGGTCAATTTCGCATGAAATGTCATCGTCCTAAAAAATATTAATACGAATAACAAATACAGTGAAAAACCAAAATAACAACCAGTGGTGTAACGTAAAAACTCTCAATGACTAAAGCGAGGGGCCCAGAGATATTTATTAGTAAGGTTTCCTAAAATCAGATGAGAGGAACTTCAAAAAACGTCAAGAAACAGGCGGTACTCAGTGACATAACGGTTATGCATGCTCACTGTGGCCCTTGACCTTAAGTGGCCCAGTAACACTTTCTTTGCCTCATAGGCCAAGCGAGGTCTTCCAAAAACTTCAAAGAAAATATAAAAATACATCCTAAAACGCCGAAGAGAAGAGAGATACTTACTAACGTTCAGTCAATGATTTTCAACCGCAAAAAATTACACATAGTTTACATAAGACTCTTAAATTTGTTTTATTACCATAGTCGGTTACTTAACTCCAAACTAATTGATGTTATACATTTATGAATATAAGAGATGTGGCATAAATATTTCACTATTTGCCTTGCATACCAACACTGCAGAGCTTGCGGTTTGTATTGTCTTATTATATCCATTTCAGAAACCCTTAAATAATTGGCTGAGAGATAATTAGGTGGAAGAACTTTAAAGAAGCTAAAGTTAAATAGTGCCAGGACCCTGTCAACCACCCGTCTCTGGTCTAGAAATTTATGTTTTTAACAAGACATAGTCTTTCATTCGAAGAATTCAAACTTTTCCTTAATATATTGTTTGAACTTTGAACGTGCATTACTCCTCCTAATACTATCTCCTAATTTTCTCGCCTCCTTTCTTTGACGTGTAATTTTCATTTACTCTACCTCTAAACGCTCTGGCATTTCACTACCAAATGTGTTGCTCGTGTGCGGCCTGAGGCGGTTCAGCAAGCCTGCATGACTGACTCTGCGCGTCTTAAACGGCAGTGGTGGATCTTTTCTATCATTCGATACTATTTCTACCCCTCCTTTTATAACTCCTACACTTTTGGAATCCTTAGGAGGTCGGCCTTACACACCAGAGAACCAGAACTAGAGTGGATTTTCTTTTCATTGGGCTCTACCATTACCCTGCCCCAGGGTAGTAAGGCCATCAGATCTAATCTTTTACCAGGGTCCTTGGGCATCTTTTATTTCATTTTATTTCATACATTTATTTCGTCTAAAAACATTAAAATTGACAAACACAAGATAACAGAAAGCAAAAAACAACACTCAGTGGGCCGGACAGGATTACCAAAAAGTGAACTGAATCACTGTCTAGTGGTTGTCCGATGCCAATGAGAACATAAATTAAATTAGCATAAAATAAGTAAAATAGACCAATTAATAAAATTTAAATTAAAAAACATATATGTACAAAATCGTCAGTGAAATCGGTCAAAATACAATAAAATTTGAAAAAGAATTCCAGCGAAAAACAAAAATTTAATTTGTTTTGTTGAATCAATGATCATAACTTGAAGTAGTTCTTGCCTTACATTGTATATTGTTGGTTTACTCAGGCGTAGATCCAGTGGAGAATCATTATTGTTAATGTCATCATCGTTGCCTTCATTCAGTATGTCATTAAACTCCTGATGATCACGTGCAACCAGCACCTCTATAAATGCATTATAACCTCGAACTTCATAATGTAAAACCTACAATCAAATAAATTACAACTAACATTACAAACGTATGTTGCCATTCTTGTTAACATTTTATGTAAACACACGCATAGTTAGTGGTAGCCTTGGTTCCAGGCCCTGATTTTTGGTTACTGCACTTAGTGCGTGCCATACCTAATTAAATTGGCGTCCCATATTCAATTTTTTTTCAGATTATTCCGTCTCTAAATTAACTTTCTCAATTCAATTCAATTTTTTCAATCTACCTTTTACAACAGTGGCACACATAAAACAAGTTTTATGGTGCATCCAATATACCTTAATACAAAAAAAATAAAATAAAACTAATTGTAAAACTAAAAGTATGTTAAATCTACAGTAAAACAAATATTAAAACCATTAAACAATAATTAATACAGTAAAGAAAAAAAAGGTTGATATCAATACTGTAGGATCTCAATGCATGTTCAAATGCAAATTTTACGAACACATTTAAGACACATTAAATAACACTTAAAAAGGTATATAGAAATATTTCCTAAACTTGTTGAGGTGGTAATTCAGATAACAAAATATTTCTTTCTTTTATACACCTTACAATTAACTGTTTACAATGAAAATCAAAAAGGTGGCGCTGTCTAGAATGAGAACAATAATAAAAAAAATAAGACTTGCGGCAAGTCTTAGTGGTTACTATATCGGTGATAGTGTAATCGATAACCGTGTTTATCTGTTAAGCACCAACCTTCCCGACCAAGCCACTTGTTTCACGTCCAATAATTAAGGTAGAAGTATCAATCTGTAGCGGTTCGTCTATGTTTTTATCTATTAGAACAATTCCGTCTGTGTTATTTTCTCCGCCACTGCATCCAAAAATAATGTTTGCGTTTTCATGAAGGACTGAAGAGGGCGGTGTTAGCATTCTAAACAAAATAATTAGAAAAATCCACTGATTACAAGTTAACATCAGATCAGTGTTATTCGCAGTGAAAATTATGCTGCATATTGTTATATAATGTAATGTTATTAGTAACCCATTTTTTTACACCGTATCATACAATAAAATATGCATTCTTACACTCTGTTTCGTATTGTTTCGTCATTACAGTCTAAAACACTGGTTTCGATGAATGTAGAATCGGATTCTTCTCCAATTTCGGCAACAGCTTCGATGAAATGCCCAGTAGAGTTCACGGCGAGTATGTCTCCAACTTCTATATTGTACGAATTTGCAATGTCTGGAGTCAATACGATGAACGTTGAATGGTATTTTCTTGTTCCCAGCACATGTATACTTCCACTGCACTTGTTAAATGGAACATCTTAAAGACAGAAGAATACATGTTTAATCATTGTGAAGAAAGCGTTTGATTTTTATGGTATCTCATGGCATATACTGCGAGAGGAATTTATATTCAATGGATATCTATATCTCTCTGTTCTGCCTTGCCTCCTTTAATATGGATTTTGACAGTGTTACTCTTTTAATTGGGCTGATAGTTAGAATTATGTTTAGGTCATGAATTTATAAGTGCTAGATATCACAGTGTAGATTTTCAGTTGTAAAAAGCCTTAAAAATACAAACCTGTAATATTGCATTAAATTAGCCTCACAAGAACAGTATTTAAAAAAAAATGAACAATGAAATGTTACACTACCTTGAAGTAAAACTATATCTTTCATAGGATAGGACAACGGAGTGTTGATAGCATCGTTCCAAAATGACTCTTCAGGTAAATCGCTGTAATCAGTGATTTCGATTACGTCTAAAACATCATTTAGATTTGCGTACTGAAATACTTCGTCAAATCTCGCCACTCTTGCCATTATCATGCTATGCCGCCCTAAAAATTGAATAATTTGAAAACGAATCATTGTTACTTTAAATATACTTTATGTACCAAATAAACAATCTCTTGAAAGTGCTTAAGTTTTTTTTTTCATGTTATACCACTAGTCTATTTAGGCAACTTAAATGACTATTATATTTATTAGTCCATTCAGGCTAGATATGAATTTGTACTGATGTGTTACAAAAAAAAAAAACATTTTTTCTAACATTATGCTCACATCATGAACATAATCGGATTCAGAATCTGAATCATAATTTGGTATGTGTTCCATGAAATAATTACAAATCTCTATATATTTTTTTTGAAATGGTAAACTGTACAGTAATAATACGAAGAGATTGCTAATTATATGAAAACCAAAAGGAATCAATTAACTTGTAAAAGTGAAAGATTAGGTTAGGCAATTCGTCATCGATATCACGAAGTGACACAAAATCAAAATCACTATTTTGTTGTCAAAGAAAAATTTTTTCTTTGACATTTTGTACATCGAACTAGCTTTTCAGCTAGTTTTTAGTAGTTGAACAATATTATTTAGGTAATTGGACTAATTAGCCATAGCGCACAAACCGAGAAAAACGGATTCGTTTATACGAACATACACACACTTTCAGTGGGTTAATCATATGCCAGTGCGTCGTTGCAGTAGTTGTTATTGGTTAGCTTGGTTAGGGATAAATGTAAAGATTAAATTTCCCTAATTTACCTAGGCGTAGGTATCTTCATATGCATCAAGTGTGGAATTATTAGTAGAAATATAATGATTTAAGCAGCATAAGCCGAGTTTGTAGGCTTGTTATAGCATAAAATACAGTGTGTGTCTAGCAACGGTAAAATGAGATTTTACCGTTGCAAATTACTACACGTGTAAATAATGCTGTGTTTATTCTGATCGTGTTCATGAACAGACATCAACTATAATTAACAGGATAATTAAGGTAAGGAAAACAAAATAAATTGAGCATTTGAATTGCATAATGCTTAATTTCAAAACATGTAAAACAATATTAAAAATATCGATAGCTTTATGGTCCACTTCGTTTTTTCCAAAACCCTGTTGTGATCAAAAAGTTTGTGTCTCTCGTGAAAACGGCGATGAGTTAATTACTAAAATTAAATCTTATTATTTAAGTGATATTAATAATCAATTTAACATAATTATTCTTCTTCTTTAAACTATGTCTTATCTTAATAAAATTACTCACATAAATGTTTTATTGACACTACAGTATGGAAAACCCCTTGTGCTTGACCAGAAACTAGGATATTAGAAGCCTCTGTCTTCTTGAGTAATCTGCTTGATATCAACAATACTTCATCGTTCCTCTTCACTGGACAAATGTAAAGATTTGCAGAATTCTGGCCAACGTTGATTACTTGAACTTTTTCGTCAATTTCTATATTATTCTTTCTGTTGGGATCAGCATAGTTCGGATTGACCAAATTTAATGGACACATGTCTGGACTCCAAACATTACATCCATTTGGCTACAAAACAAAGCAAGTACAAATTGTAAATACTTTGGACTTCCTCAAGCAAGCTTAGGCTTGCATTAATAATAATACATTCAAAAAGGTAAAAAAAAATATGAAGCCCTAACAGAAGTGGTTGCTGTTTATCTTTTGTATATAAAAATATGATGCATGACCGATTTCCTTGTTGTTTTTAATTTTTTTATGATTACTATATATGATATCAAATCAAACCTTTTCAATGAAACATTGCTCTAAATCTCGACAACTCTGACAGGAGCCTATGGTAGTACTTGATCGCGTTGTATCACAGTGAGTTAACTTGCAATTAAGGATCTAGAAAACAATACAATTTTACTATAATTATGTTAACAAATTATAACACGTACCGATGACGTACAAGTTTCTTGCTTTATGAGAACGCCCTTTCGGTTAGCGCTAACCGTAACCTGAATCCGGATAAGCAAACGGTATCGGTTAGCAAGTTGAGTGCGTTCCAATCATTGGCCAATCGCACTTACGTATTTTCAATTTCTAGATTCCTATTGGTCAGTGATCCGATCATCAACTTCTTGGTATCTGGATAGGGGATTTTCTTGTATGAACGCACGGGTGAGTTCGTACGTTTGTAATCCGGATCCAGCTAACCGTTAGCTGCCGTCCGTGAACGTAGCGGAGAAGTCAAATCTGTTCTGATATAACATGACTCTCTATGGTTGCTCGCTTTGATAACAAGAGATTGAAAGTTCAAGTCTCGACAGAAACATTCTTTTCAGAAACAACTAAACTGGAAAGTTCCGCTGAAAGATCTCATACAATTATAACACCATATAGATTCCAATATTGGAAAATTGTTACTATATGATCTATTTGGGGTTTATTTAAGTTTAAAACCTATAAAACCGGTAGGTACTTATTCCGTAAGAATTTACAACACATATCCGAAGAAGAATAACAAAAAGCACCCTTTAATCAATCAGAATAAAATGCCATATATCTAATTATTTTTATGAATAATTTAATTAAATTAACAATACCTCTATACTGTTGGAACAAGTGCCAGTGGTAAAACAGTAATTGTGGAACCATGCTTCGCACTGGACTCCCAATTCAGGTCCTGTACTCGTACCTGGGAGACATTTGAGTGTCGAATCACACCAACCACATCCTTCTACTTTAGCACATGACCTACAGTTTTTAAATCGCCTACAGTAACTAGATGTACAGCTAGATCCCTATTAACAAAATCATGTAATAACAACTGGTAAATAATAAAATGAATGATAGTACATTAATAATA